AAAAAAAAAAAAAAAAAAAAATCAGCAGACTAAAAAGCAAGGAATCCTGCCTGGCCCCCTAATCCTTCAACTCATAGAAAAAATAAACTTTCTTCATCTCAGCTGCATCTTGATTTATAAAAGTGGCATTTTTCCTGGAAAATGGGACTTTTGTTTCTTAATTTTTCTTTCTACTTGTGTTATGACACAGAGCCTGAGATCAATGTTGCCTGCAGGTCACCTGTACACGTTAGCCAGGCCCTGTTCTAATAAACAAAACAGATGAGCCAGGCCAGGTGGTGCACACCTGTGATCCCAGCACTCCAGAGGCTGAGGCAGAAAAATCACCATGACTACGAGGCCAGCCTGGGTACACAGTGAGTTCAAGTCCAGCCCAGCCCAGGCAGGAGCAGAAAGTTCCTCTGTCTCCCTGACACTCTGCCACCGTTGGCTGGGGTAGGGTCTGCCACAAGCAGTCAGGCAGCAAACAAACCACAGACCGAGGAAGACACATAATGACTGGGATCGTGGAACTGAGTTCCCAAAGTGCTTCTTGCAGAGACACGGAGGAAGCTTCTTTGTACTTTAGGGTGCAGACTCAGGGTCACAGCGACAAATACGAAGACAGGCAGACCAGCGCCACATCTAGCTCTGTGACTTTGGCCCCTCCAAGCTTCTACTTCCTGTCTGCAAAATGACGGTGACAGTCACATAGGTGCAAAGGCAAGAAGGCACACAAAGGAGTCACAGGCTGGGGTGTAGCTCAGGGTAGCGCACTTGCCGGGCACACGTGAGGTCCAAGGTTCAATCCCCAGCACCACCAAGAGAAAGTACCCAGTGTGCACCAGTCACTACTTCGGGTAACTGGGAGCACCAGGTCAAGGCCCTCCCTCTGCTCGGGGTCTCCTTGCACAGCCAAGACAGATGCCAGGTGCACCCAACTGCTCTCCTCCTGGGTTTCCGCTACCAGACCCCTGCACACTCCTCCGCCTAACTTCAGGAAGCCCCTTGTCCCTTCACACACAGACACACCCAGGAGCTGGGCTCAGCGAGAGATAAACTCTCATTCTCTCTCCCCACCCCAGGGCTTCTCCCACCCCCAAGCCTTCAGCCACTCGCTGGCCTCTCTAAGTGACGGTGAGGGAGCCGGCACAGCCTTCTGGGTGTCCAACGCAAAGTAACCAAGTAGGAAATCGGTCTCCTCCAGCGGCCCCGCGAGGGGGGATTGGTGTGCACCCTGAGGACAGGGTCAGAGTCGGGGCAGGGACTGTGCCTGACGCCCTGCACGCAGCGCCTGGCACCCAGGATACCGCTGACCCAGTACCAGGCAAGGCAGGAGGACAGGGTTCCGACTCCTCCCAGGAAGCGGGCCCGTCAAGCTCGGCTCACACAGCCCCGAGTTACACACACGCAGCCCGCAGCCCTGGTCCCTGTGTGGCAGAGCGGGGACACTGACGGCACCTGTCTCGGATCCTCCAAGAGTGTGTAGCACACTCTGCGCCAGGACTGCAAGGGCCAAGTGGTCAGACAGGTTCCCTCTCCTGTTCATCACAGCAAACCCAGGGCGGGGTTTCCACGACACCGCCCCATGGCCAGCCAGAGAGCCCGGTCTTCTCCTGTTCCCCTCTCACCTCCTGTCCTACCTAGGGGCCCAGGACCTGAGCTCTCCCTGTGTACTGAGTCCTCCCTGGTTACTGAGCTCTCACGGGTACTGAGTCTCCTTGGGTACTGAGCTCTCGCAGGTGCTGATCCATGGGATTTCAATGAAGATCCAGATGTGCAGCCACAGGCTCTGGCCTCAAGGGAACCCGAGGCAAAGCCCCCTGAACTCCTGGGTCCCTAGAGCAGTGACCTCTTCAGTCACTGGCAGCACCTGGTGGAGCCCCACTGAACCCCAAAAACCACAGCACACACTCACTGAGACCCAGCTCCGTGGTACAGTTCCAACACACATCCCTTCGTGAGTCCTGCGTCAGCCTCGCCCTGCCATTCACCACTTGGTGGCCCTCGAGCCACCAGTAACGGCAGCTCCACAGAGACAGGAAGGAGGGAGGCCAGCTGGGATGCCAAGTCCCAGGCTGCCCCCAAGGACCCGTGCCCACCCCGGCCTCCCATGAGCTCCTTCCCTGGAGGCCACAACATCTCAGGCAAAAGTATCCGAGTAGGATTCTTTCCTCGGGTTTAAAAGGCAAATTGTGGTGGTGTTTTTTCCAGACATACATTAACTGCACTCCAGCCGGTTTACAATTCCTAAAGTGCTTGATTTACAGCCGGGGGAGAAATGTTTGCAAACTCTGCAGGCGCCTTCCCCCGAGAGCTGCGTGCAGAGTTGGTCCCCCACTTTCCAGTGGGGCTGGATCCCCAGGACCGAAGTGGTGACCAGGGCTCCCCGCCTTCGCAGCTCCGCCTGGGGAGCACGCTACAGTGCCTGGGAGGAAGGGCAGCACCCCACTTCCTTCCCAACGGGAACGACAGCAGGACACGCACCAGGAATCTGCACACCAGAAGAAAACCAAGACAGCTGGGGTGGTGAACAAGGAGGAGGGATCCAAAGACCCAGGCAGGACCTCGGAGGACACAGCAGACTCTGCCATGGGTCCCCAGCAACCGTGGGGTCTCCACGGAGCCCACAAAGCACAGTTCCCCGAAACAGCCCAGTGAGCTCCAGCTTCAGGCACCTTCCACGCACCGGCCACTCCAGCTCCCCAGCCCCATTTCCACAGAGATTCCCCAGAATACGGGTCAGTGCATCGTCAGAGGAGGAAACAGGCTCCCGGGAAACCCACAGCCCACCCAGGGCGGTCCCCGCAGAGGGGTCTCCTCCACACCTCACACACACACCCGGGGTGACCCGCGTGTCTCAGCAGCAGGCCGAACGTCCCGCCGGGCCGGGCACAGGGGTGAGCCCCCCTGAAAACCCTGGTTTGCTGCTCGGGTGGGAGGAAGCCAGGGCCCAGCCGGCCCCAAGTGTGCTGCAACTTTCTGTGGTGATGCAGTGGCTGAATGGAGAGAGAGCAGCCGCGCAGGGCCAGGCCAGTGCGGCATCCGGCCCTCAGGGCCCTCCCCGAGCCCCGGGTGTGGGGGCCGCTTCAGGCCAGGACGGGGCCTCCACACGCATCCACCAGACTCACACACTTGCCCTGACTCAGACCAGGGTGCGAGACCAGCCCGGCCTTGGTGTGTGCTGAGGGCAGGCAGCAGGCTCAGCCTCGGGGTCTCAGCGCCCCAACAATCCATGAAACAGGAGCTGCTGGGAGAGCTGGAGCCACCAGAAGAAACCGGAGGTGAAGGGTGGGTAACTAGGCCGAGGCCAGCCAGCTGTCAGGGAGCAGGGTGTGGACAGGCAGAAGCTGAAGGACTGGCGGCTCCCTCGCTCTCCCTTTCCCTCTGTCTCCCCAGGGCGAGCAGGACACTACCTTCTACTGCCCAAATCAGAGTTCGGTGGAACCACAGCCTGATGTCTACGTCCAAGCTCCCCCTCATCCCCACTGCCCCCGCCAGGCTCCCCTTTTTTTTTAACAAATCACAGCTTCACTGATATAATCCACACACCACACAACCCATCCACTTAGGGTGTGCAGTTCAGGCGCTCACTGTGCACCCACGGAGCTTACGGCCAACAGCACAATGCCAAATACCCTCACTGCTCCTAAACCAAGCCCCATATCCGTAAGCGGCCACCCTCCATGTCCCCCAGCCCCGCCCGCAGCCCTGACAACCACACATCTGCTTTCCGTCCCTCTGGACGGGACGTTCCAGACATGTCACAGGAAGGGAACGGGACACCATCCAGTCCTTCGTGGCTGGCTTCTTTCACTTGGCCTAATGTTTGCAGGGTCTATCCTGGCTGTAGCATGTACAAAGCACTTTATTTCTTTTTTATTGCTAAATAATGTTCCATAAATATTCCCAAAATAAGATTACACAGTAAGTCCTAAATAATATTGCCTAAGAGAACGGACACATTGTCTTTTCTGTCTCCCTGCAGCAGGGGACGGGCGTGTGGGCTGCTTCTCTTCGAAGGCTCCTGAATCCCGCCGCCCACCCGTATGTACAAGCTGCCATGTGGACTCGCGCTCGCTCTCCCGGACGGACCTAGGGTGACCTGCCAGGCCCTGGCGTCAACACGCGGCTGAGCGCTTACCGGAGAGTCTTGCCACGGAGCCAGCATCTCGCTGCCACTGGGCCATTTCCAGGAGCTTTATCAAGGCAGCCGGACTCCGCCCGCCTGCGGGTGGCTCATCTGGCCCAGCCCCTCCCGTGCTGGGGCCCGGGCCCCCATCCCTGCACCGCCAGTGTCGTCTGGGCCAGCGCAGTGATGAATGCGCTCAGCTCTCGGGCAGATACTTCACAAATCATAACTTACAGATGCTCCAGGCTTTCATGTGGGGAAGACAAATGAGGCTTCCGCCGTCTTACTTTGGAGCCACCAAGGACAGGAAGCCGCAGCCAGGAACCGACAAGCTGGGATCTGCATCTCTCCCCAGGAGCGCAGGAGCGAGGTAACAGAAAAGGAATTCGAGCTCGAGCGGGGCAGGGTCTGCCGGTCCTCAGACCACACTTCACAACCTGCCCCTCATTTCTAGCTGCTTCTAGGCTCCAAACAAGCCCACAGATCCCCTGGGGTCGGACAATGACCCACACTGGGGTGCTGCTTGCTCGCCAACCCCTGGGGGCCGTCCTGCTCGCCTCTGCTGAGTACCCACTGTGCTCAGCACCCGCCAGGTGTCCCCCGACGCTGCCTCCGATGCCAGGCGGGCCGACATGGGGGTGCTGCCAAGACAGTCAGACAGGAGACCTCCTGTGGCTCCAGAGGAAGTGATGTAAGCCCTCCTGGAGAGGCAGGGTGCGGTTCTGTCTGCAGACCCCGCCTGGAAATGAGCAGCTCCCCACTGCAGGCCCCTCTGGTTCTGGGGAACAAAGAGCACAGCGTGCATCCCGTTGGAGCCCCTGCCCTGATGCACTCAACACCTTGGTCCCTGGGCAGAGGGCGCACTAGAAGCAGCTCCTCTGCTGGCTTCCGACCCTTATCTTCTCACACCTCACTCCTGCAGAAACTCCTTGCTGTGAGCCAGCACCCTCAACCTGTGGTATGACCAGAACCCGGCACAGCCCCAGGCCAAACCCCAGCTCTGCTGCTGCCTGTGACCCTGGGTAAGCTGGTTAGCCCCGTGACTGTTTCTTCACCTGGAGAGTGGCACGACAGCACGCTGGGAAGGAGGCTGCAATCAAGGAACATAGACCCTGCATATCCACCACTACTGCCCCCGTCCCTCCTCACCAGCCCTGCCTCTACTGCACCCTGGTATGAGCCCTGCCTTCCACCTTACCCGGCCCCAGATACACAGCAGAATTCTGCCCTCCGCCTGCACTGCTGCACATTTCCATCCTCTGAAGCCAGGGTCATCTTCAACATGACTTCCCTCCCCTTAGCTGGTAGAGAATCACACCACTGACCACAGCCCATTCTTTTTCTGTGACCCCTTCCTCATGACAATCAAAACCCACCCAGAGGGCCAGAGATTTAGCTCAGTGGTGCTGCTGCCTTCCTCGCAAGCGAAAGATCACGAGTTCAAGCCCCGCTACCACACAAAAAAAATTTTAAAAATTTAAAACCAACCCAGAGAAGAATCACCTCTGGTACTTGTGGTTTGCATCTAGATGTCCGCCAAAGCCTCTCATGCTCACACTCACACGTGAGACTTTGAGGAGTGACTGGATAGTGGATATTCCATGCTGGATCAGTCCTCTGATTTGTCTGGAACAGATCTGGGTGTGAGTGATGGATTCACTGAAGGGGGAAGACCCACCCTGGGTGTGGGTGGCACCAACCAATAGGCTTGCAGCCTGCATGGAATAAACAAGGTAAGAAAGGAGTCACAGTGTTTCATGCCTACCCTGCCAGGGACTGTTTCTCCTATGCGATGCTGTCCTGTCTTGGAGCCAGCTGCCTAAGGACTGAAACCTCTTCAAACTGGGAGCCAGAATAACCCTTTCTTCTAACTTATGGGTGTCAGGTATTCTGTCCCATCAGCAAGAAAGTAAGACAGTACTGGTGGTGAAGGACCATATACACATCTGGGGGAACCAGCTGCACAACATCAGGAAAGGCTTTGGTTTGTCCAGCAGTGAGCTTCCAGACAAACAGCTGGATACTCTCAGCAAGTCCTTTCCATTCCATATGTACCGTTTTCCCCCAGCTCCAAAATGGCTCTAACCAGCATGCACAGCTCATAATGAGCAGGGTTCAGCAGGAGAAGAGGGCTGCAAAGCACCCAGCACAGAGCGACGGACAGCCCAAGCTGGAGACCTCTGCTGGCAGTCACAACAGGAGCAGTGGTACCGCCAGGGGGAGGAGCTCCTCCCCAGTCTCCAACTCTGAGGAGCAGAGCCTCAGGGAGCTGCAGCCCAGCTTGGCAGCCACCTGTCACAATCGCATCCTAGCTGGCAGAGTCTCTTGGGTCTTGCAACTACTGACCGGATGTCCCTCGGGTCCTAGTCACCTCTGCCTCCACAGGTGACAAGGTGAATGGCAAAGGGGAATAAATCGATGCCAAACTGAATGGAATCAGTTCAGCACCTGCAGGTACTCACCGTCTTCTTGCTCCCAGACAGTTCTTCAGCAGTGAGGACTCTGTCCTGGTCTAGTAAAGGCGCATTAATGAATGCTCCAAAAATTCCAAACCGAGGATCAGGTTTCAACGTGACTCAGTCACCAGCTGTGCGACCTTACGAAGGTCACTGATCACTCCTGTTTCTCACTTTCCCATCTCATGGATGGGGGTCTGGAGAACGGGTTCACCAGGGTTCCTTACACACTGAAACTGGTTCTTATTACATGGCGCCTCATGGACCACACAGCCTCTGGCTTAGCAGGTCAGCAGCTGGTCTGCACCCCTCCCCACCATAGGCAGCTGTCCAGCATGAGGATGAGTACTTTGGGACCAGTGTTTACAACACCCACTTCCCGTCAGATCTCGCAGCTTGGTAAGTGAAGATGCCTCACTGCCCTCGAGCTCGTGCTGCATGGGCAGGGGCACAGTCTGCCCCCAGGGCCTGCTGCTGCCACCCAGCCCCCTCCCAGAGTCCAAATAACCTGGTACAAGGCCTGACACTGAAGCGCTCACAGGACTCCTCTCCCTGAAAAGCGGTACGGGCTTTTTTGGCAACACTTGGCTCAAAGAAAGCGCAAGCCTAACATAACTCTGAGGCTCACCCCACCCCCCAAGGTGCAGCCAAACAAAGGTTGTGCAATAACAGGCCCTCATGCAAGACCAGAAACCACTCAGATCCTATCTGCATCTGCCTGTCAGTCTCACCTTCCTCCCTAATTACTCTAGCATCAGAATCTAATTACCCTGAAAAGCTGATTGTCTGCCTACCTCTCTCTGCACAATACCAGGCTAATTGTCCAATCCATCTTGCCCCTCTGATGGCCTTAGAACCCAAGTCAAATCCTACATGAGATGGGAAAAAACCTCACTAGAAAAGGAAACTAAAATGGTTCCTAGATGGTCTCCTTCAACCCCCCTAAGTCTGAGAAGTTGATATTAGAGCTGAGGCTCCACAGTTCCATAGCCAGCTGGAGTCACAGGGCCCGGGAGGATCAGCTGAGGTCGGCAGGAGAGCTGGGCTCACCACAGTGCTGCTGCGGATACCAAATGCCAGGGCAACACTCCTCCATCGCGGTGTATCATGAGGCTGCCCCTGTCCTGTTGTGAGCCTCTCCTCTCCGGGTAGAGCTCTGTCTCCACAGAAAGCTGACTTCCCCAAAGACCCCTGATCCCCTGCCAGAAGCTACCAAAGGAGCCAGTGCAAACCGCGCCCAAACAGCCCACTGGAAACCACGGGGCGGCCTCTCCATCTCCTCAGTGAGGCCGGAAGAGCAAGCTGAGGATGCTTCTCGCATCGTGGGGACCAGAGAAAACCCACGCGCACTTCCCGGGAAACGCTTCTGCGGCCCTGACACACGAGTAGCCAGGCACTGGGCAAGACCGACTCGCTGGCCGACTGTGCTCTGTGCCCTCTTCCGTCCCCCAGGCACGGGCACATCCACCTGACGGCCGCTCCCCGAGCTCGGTGCCATCTGCTCGGCAGAGCGGCTCCAGACGCGTTCCCCATCTGTTCAGCCCCGGAGGAGCCTGCAGTCTGAGGAAAAACAGTCCCGGCGACACAGGAGGACCTGCCAATTTCTGGTCCTGGATCGGCTGCCAGCTCCAAAATCTTTACATAATTTCTGGGTAAAACAAGGGATTTTGCTGAAATTATGAGCACAATGGGGAAGTGAACCAAGGGCTGGACAATAACAGAGCTGGGTCTCCCTTCAGCGGAGAAATACGCCTCTCTCGTTCTCAGGGCGCCCTCTAGTGGCCGTGCCACGAAATCCGTACGGAATGCTCCTGCCATCCGCAGAGCTCGGCTTGACCCACCCAGAGCCACCTCAGCTCCTGCCTCTGCTGCCTTCACCGGACGGGGGTACCCCAGGAAGCTCAGGAAGGCTTCTGCCGTGAGATACTTTTAAACAGCTCCAGGGGCTCCCCAGGACCCAGGTGTTGGGGTTCCTCTGCAGACACACCCTGGTCCCACTCAACCTCTCGCAAGGATTCCGCTTCAACCTGCGCCTCCAACCAGATCTGGTTCTCATTATCTTGCTTTCCAACTTCCTAAGCGCGATTCTTCAACAGCTATTAAGACAACACGAGCGGGTGGGGAGCTACGCTTGGCTTTTCTTATTCAACATTCAGTCTGACAATCCCGCTGAGGAAGGAAAGTATGAAAGAGGAGCAAGCGTCTCCGCCTCCTCCACAAACCAGGCGGCAGCGTCTCCGGACATCACTGCAACCATCCCTTCAGATGTTCCATCCTACCCCAAAAGGAGCCTGCACGGAGTGAACTCTGGACTCGCTTACCACAGAGAGACAGCTTTAAGAGGTGCCACCGCCCAAATTTCTAATTAATCAGTAGACCTTTTTAAATAACACGGTAAAGTCGGACCGACCCCAACGGTGCGTCTAAGAAATGGGGGGAGGGTCCAGTTTGGCAGCTAGAGGATGGGGGGCTGAACTTTGCTGATCAGCACCCCATTTGGGGGCAGAACTGCCCTTCCACTGACAGTTCACCTCTCTCTTCCCTGGGGACATTTGTTGGGGTTACAGGCGACTCTGGGCCCAAAACAACCACCAGCCCAAAAAGAGTGCATTCAGGGAGCCTCATAATTACTCTGACTTTGGCCCTAAATCGATTAACACACATCTGATGTGCTTTAAGTGAAAACAACACGCCAATTCCCCGCCACACGCCACACAGACTTTTTGCCTCAGTCAGGCACTTTGAACCCAACTCTGCAGCCGCCGGCAGTGGGGGTTTCAAGGGCCTGCTCTACAGAAAGGAAAATAACAGCAATCCGGGCTGGGGCCGGAGTCCCGGGCCGTCGGACTCGCCGTCGCTGTCACCGGGCGGCTAGGGAGCCGGAGACCCGAGACCGCCGGCGGCTCA